CCCTGGGGCGTGTTCAGGGCTCCTGTGACTCATGTGTGATGGTCCCTCTCGTTCTGAAGATGGCCCCAGAGGACGGGCGGGAGGAGCGGGGAGAGTGTGGGGCCGGGAGGAGGAGGAAGAGCGTGCCCTCCAGCGAAGTGGCAGCGCAGTGTTGCTGGCTGCCGGCCCGGTGGTGGTCCCCGAGGCCGGATTCGATGGCCTTGCCGTGGGGCGGTGTCTCTTCCGTGCGGGCGTGTTTTGGGAGCGTGATTTGGAGAAGATTGCAGTCAGAACTAAGCCCAGATGTGGGGGCGCTCTGTGTAGGCACCAGCTCCCCGTGGCCCGGCGGCCTAGGTCCTGCGCGGGTCTCTAGGGAGGACTCGGCCCGCTCCCAGGTCTCCTCTTCCGGGCCGCGCCGCACCGGCCCCAGACGTGGCTAGGGCAGGCCTTTCTCGGCCGCTTCAGGACCTCTGACCCCCAGGCACCCGAGCACAAACCTGGCAGCTGGAGGGATGCTCCTGGCAGCGCGGCCCAGAGGAGCTCCGCGGGGCGAGCCGAAGCCAGGGTTGGCGCTCGCTGTGCCCTCGGAGTGCTGCAGGCGGGGCGCGGAGACCGGCTAGGGACTTCTGTCCATAGGCACTTTCTTTGCGGCAGGCACCCTCCTCTGGGGTCAGGGTGGCTGTCTAAGTGAGTCTCACACTGGGGGGTGTTTTTCACGTGCGGCGGCGGCTGGTCAGACGCCCTTTCGGTCTGGGCCTGCTGATTTCCGGGTGCCTGCGGGTGCCAGGGCAGGGCGGCCAGGAGGACGCTGGATACCCTCGTCTGGCCCTCAGGAGACAAACGGGCTGAACAGAGACGCGTGGTCGAAGCCGTGTCAGCGCGTGATCTGGGCGACACGGACACGGAAGCGTAGAGAAGACAGCACTGGACGACCTTGGGCGGGGGTGGGAGGCGTGTGTCAGAAAAGAAAGAAGCACCTGGAAAATAGGACTGAGAACGGGGGGACCTGAGAGGTTGGGGGTCGGGGTCCTGAGAGGCGAGGAGCCGACCAGAGGGAAGAGGGTGGCTCCAGTGGGCGGGTGGGGGTGGAGAGAGGAGGAGAGGGGAGCCGGGTGGAACAGTGAGACCCGACAGCCCTTGCAGGAGACTCACCTGTAGGGGGAGGAAGCGTGAGCAGGAGCTGGAGGAGACGAGAAAAGGTGTCTTTTATTACTGCTGTCACTGTTGTCATCACCCTTATCATTGCTATGCACATTAAAATGTGAGTGGGAAGAAGAAATCGGAGGGGAAGGGGGTGAAGACACAGGAAGGACAGAGGGCATCAGTTCCTCTGGAGGGGGAGGTGCGGTCGGGACCCAGAGCCGAGGAGGGGGTGGGTCCTGGGAGAAGGGGGCCTCCCTTCCACTGAAGGCAGAGGAAGGCACGTTTGCATGTTTAGGGGCAGAAAGTTTTCTTCTGACGTTCTTTTTCTCCTTGACGAAGGGGAGGCATCCCCGCAGCAGAGCAGAGGCCCCAGGAGCCGCGGGCCAGGGCCTCTCTGTCCAGGCTGAGCTCTCCTTTCACATCCCGTTGGCCTCAGCAGGGAACTCAGGGTCGGGGTGGAGGACCGCCTGGGCGGGATCACCCACCCTCCTCCCCCCGCCCCCACAGCCCAGGCGCAGCTGAGTGGCTCCTCGGTGACAGGGACGCAGGGTTCCTGGGGCCTTAGCAGCTTTAGCCCAAAACCTGTCTCCCTTCTAGAACCAGCCCGGGCTCCTCTGGTCAAGTTCAACTTAAATTACACTCAGACCGATCCCATAGCATGGGCCTTTTTCAGGCATCAGAGACTGGAAGAGTTCTGCTCTATTACCTCACATTTTCCAGACCCACTCCGCACAGATGGAATCTCTTGCAACCCTACCAGGCCAGACGCGAGAGAGGAGCAGTGCCGCGGGGGTGGGGCCGAGGGCTTGTTTTAGTGGCTAGAACGGCCTGATTTCCTTTGACATCTTGATAAATCTTCCCGCACGGAGCGTGGGAGATGCGGCGTTGAGGGGTGCTCACGCTCCTTTAGTTCGGCAGATGCTGCCCGGCCTCTTCCCTGCACGGCACCCCCTTTGTCGGGCTCTCCCATGGCCTCGGCCACAGTTCCACGGAGCTAGTGTCCGCGTCCCCATGCCCGTCTGCGGCGAGGCCGATGCCGAGAGCAGCGGACGCGCCTGAGGTTGCCGGGGAAACAGGTGACAGGGCTGGGCTGCGGGGCCAGGGCTTTGGCTCTGAGTCCTTCGCTCCATTTTGTCCAGGAAACTCTTCTGCGGTGTCTGACCCTGCCGGGGTTTGGTTTTAAATGTCACATGTCTTTTGACAGTGCAACACGGTCCTGAGGGGACTGTCAAAGCCCCAGAACTGCACATACGGTTTTTGAGTCAGTGTCTTAGAACTGTTCAGATCAAATACATTCAGGGCAGATGTATTAACTATGCGCTTTGGTTCCTGCTGCATGACGTCAGCAAAATGAAAGGGAAATAATAATAGATTTTTAAGTAATTCGAGGCAGCCACAAGAGGGTGGTGTGGGAGAGAGCGGGGGTGTTGGGACTAGAGCCGGTTCTGGCGGCAGCCTGACCCTGGGAAGGGGTGGGAGGTAGTGCTGACCACGCACCTGTCAGGTGCTGGGCTCTGTCGGCGTTCCGGCCTCACGAGTTGTCTCGATGAGGAAACCAGGGTTCCGAGAGCATGAGCACCGCGCAGGCAGGCGGTGGTGGAGGCCGGCCCGCCCCGGCCCGGCTTGCGGGAAGGCCCGCACGGCTCGTCTCGGGATGCCTCCCCGCGTTGCTGGCCGTGTGGGGTGGGACCGCGGACTCAGTTCAGTGTGCCCCACGCACAGGCAGGCACACGCACGCGCGTGTGTGATTTTGGCCGCTTATTAAAGAACTCAGGGCAAAGAAAAAAAACAAAGGAAACACCTGTCAGAGAGGAGGCCAAACCAGGCTTCAGTCCTCGAAAATCAGATTGATGAATCCTCTTTTATATCGGGTTGCAACCCATCCCTTTCTGGGACTGGCTCTGGGGGTCACAGGGGGGAAGGGCTCTTGTCCTCGCACTTGGACGTGGGAGCGCAAAGATGACCCTTCAAACTGACTGGAACAGGTGGGAAGGTGGAGCGGGGTGGGAGAGGCACACGTACCGCAGGCGAGGCAGGAGCACATTTGAGAAGAGATTCAGGTGTACGATTCCAGGACCAGGGGAGGCGTGGTGCCCAGGGCAACTCCGCGTCTCGGAGAGACTCATGTGCACCCCTGAAAAAGCGTCGAGTCCAAGTGTCGATCCCAGAGGACGAATGATAGGGGCCCTTCTCCTCTGTTCGCACGGACCCGCTGAGGGTGGGATGGGGCTGTGCAGGGAGGGCCCCTCCTGTGCTGGCGCAGGGGGTCCTCGGTAGACGGCGGCACCCATCAGCGCCCTCGCCGTCACCACTATCAGGTCTGAGTGGGCGGGGGGAGGGACTTGGCAGGGTGACAGAGGGCCGTGGTTTCCCACGTGGGGGGCTGGCAGGGCGACGGCACCATTTACAGAAATGAGGGGGCCAGGGGAGACGCTGGGCTTCCTGGCTCCTGGTTGGGTCTCAGTCGTCCTCAAGGCCAGGCAGGCCGCTCCCCTTGTATCCAGAGCCGTCCGTTCCGTCAGCCAGGCTCCCCACAAGTGCCCGCCTGTGGGTCGTGCTTGGGCCCCGAGGTGCACGCGAAGGGCACGGCCCTTCAGAGGCAGCACCGCTCAGCCAGAGGTTTCGTCTCGGGCTGGTCCTGCCCCCGCCGACTCCCCAGTAGACCCAGGTCTGTGTCCATTCCAGCTGCTGGGCTGCCGGCTCTCACAAAAGATCTCAGAAAAGTTTCAGGTGTGTGGCAAAATAATGCTATTAATAATACCGAGGCCTGGTCGGAATTAAAAGGAGGAGGCCTTGGAACTTAGGGGCAGAGAACTTTAGGAGCTACCCTTTCCCCCACTCTCTGCCAGGGCTGCCAGGCACGAGCTGAGAATGCCGGGCCTGTGGGTGGTGGCTTTTCCCTGGCCCTCTTGTATAACCCCCAAGGAATCCCATTGGATTGCTCCTGTGACCTCCCTTGGGTAGGAACCCGCCGCACTGACAGGCAAAATTTAGGTGATTTCGTCACATTATAACGCTAACCCTGCTGGAAGAGAAGAGAACATGTCCCCGAAGAAGACATCCGAGGGACCTCCCCTGCTGTCCCTGTCGGCTACAGGAGCGGTGGGAGGGCCCAGCCTCGGGAAGGGGTCTGAGCTAGTCCCAGAAGCTTCCCTGATTGCAGTGGGCTCGGGTCCGGCTGCCCTTGACTCCGGGAGTGGAGGATGTCATGTAGCTGCTGAAGTCTGAGCTCCTCCAGCCAGATCTTAATTTTAAGTTTGCCTGTGGGGGATGAATCCTACTAGTTAAAACATTACGTCCTCCCCTGGCCAATGTGGCTCAGTTGGTTGGAGTGTTGTCCTGGAGCCGAAGGGTCGCCGGTTCGATTCCCAGTCAGGGCATATGCCTGGGTTGTGGGTTTGACCCACCCATCCAGGCACATACCGGAGGCATTCCATTGATGTTTCTCTCTCACATCAGCGTTTCTCTCTCTCCCTTCCTCTCTCTCTAAAAGCAATGAAAAAAATGTCTTCGAGTGAGGATAAAACAAAATAAAAAAATAAAAATACACTACGTCCTCTCCCGGACAGTTGGCATCGAGAAGGGACTTCTGGTCCCAGAGAGACTAGCCGAGTAGCAGTGGTGGGATTAGGAATGTTCTGGCACAGAAGTCCTGGGAGATGTGGCCGGCCACTGCTCCTCACCTCTAGGGAGTCCCGAGCAGCTCCCCGACCTCGCCTTCCCCTCCAGAGGCGGAGAACCTTCTCGCCCGGGCGAAGGTGTGAATGGTCAAGGCCTGCCCTTTCCCACCTTCGTGTCTGTCCACGTTCCACGAGACGCCCCTGGCGTGTTCGCGTCCCGATTAGAACCGCTGTTGAAATGGACTCTCTGCTTCCTAGGAACTAGCCAGCTGTGGATGGAGTAAGAAGGAGAAACATAGTCTTGCCCCAAACGTTGTGGCCTTTACCCGGAGGTTTAACCAGGTAAGCAGCCCCTTGCATGTGCCTGTCCACACAGCAGTGGTGTCCCCTGTGGGCTGGGAGCCCCGCCAGGGTTCGGTCCCAGGCGCCTGGCCCAGGTCCAGACCCCGCTTCCTGAGCCCTCCCCGACCTTCATCCATCCTTGGGCCATCACAGGTGTTCTTTTCACACTGCAGGTGGAAGTGAGCACATCTTTCCTGTGTGTAAATGCTTCAGTAGCTTCCAATTCCACATAAGCTAAGGTTCCAGCACCTTAGTTGCCCGGCAAGGGCCTGCGTGGTGGGTCTGGCCTACGTCCACCCAGCAGTCTCATCTCTGGTCCCCCACACTCTGCAGGCTGCGGCCACCCCGTCCTTCCTCCTCTCGCCTGACGCACCGTATCTCTGTCCTGTCAGGCTTCCACGCGCGCCGTCTTCTCAGCTCGGAATTCTTCCTCCCCGTTCAGCCCCCAGGCGGATCTCGGCCTGCAGGCCACACTCCCTTGGGGACTCTTCCGTGACTCCCCGGCCTGTACAAGACGTGCCCATCACGCACGGCCTTGCTGCAGCAGCGCGTCTCCGCGTGGCCCTTGGCTCACCTGTCCTCGTGTTGTGTGACCCTGTCATCTCAGCTTCCTAGCCAGTCCGGGGGCTGCACGAGGGCAGGAACCGTGTCTGCCTTGTTCAGCACTGCACCCCTCGCCCTTCGCCCAGTGTCAGGCACACAGTGGACCCTCCGTCAGTGTGTGGTGCGTGGGGTGCATGAACGAGGTGCTCGGGACATTCCTTGCATGGAATTTCTTAGAATCCCGATGGCCCGGTCACCAGCCTGCTATGTACGACTGCAGACTGACTTGGGCCAGCCAGAACCTCTGCCCCACGCGTGAAGATCTGCACCCCACTTGCGGAGGGACGAGGGAGACTTGGACTAACTGAAGGGGGTGGGCTTCTGATTGCTCGGTCGGGTCTCCCAGAACTTGACCTTCAGTAGAAAACACCCCGAGAGGCTCCCTTTGGATGGATCAGACCCCAAAATGGTGTTGTTGACCGTTTTCTTCTCTCCTGCTGCTCTTCTGGTTTCAAACAAGGGCAGTGGCCTAGGGGTCGCCTGGTGTGCACGACTGGACCTCCGGGTGATGGGCCCGGGTTTCCTTTGGCCCTTCCCTCGGGCTGGGCGTTCCCTCTCGGAAACGCTGTGCCCTGTGCATCACCGTCACTCAGTCCTCCCCAGGCTTCCCCAGCCTCAGCGACCCCCCTGGGGACAGTGCAGCAGGAGCCTCAGCGGGGTGGCAGCTGGAGCGGACATTGCTGTTGTCCTTACGAGCTGTAATAGGGACTAAGACAGACCTAGATGCGTCTGTGGCAGGGACTGCGCACCCTTTGTTTCCGAAAGGGAAGTTCTGAAGCCCTTTTCTTTTTCCTTTGTTTTCAAAAGCTTTTCCTTTTCAACTGAGCTTAGTTAGTTTTAAAAAAAACAGATGTGCACACACTCTCAGGGCTTCATAGTTTCCTCAGCGGAACTGTCCGACCAGGAGCCAGCCCCGGCCCACCTCTGACCGGCCGCCGGCTCCTGGAGGAGGCCACTGAGGGCTCTGATGTAATCTGCTCCGCACGCAGAGGCCAGGTCAGCTTGGCAGAGGGCGTGTGGCCTGTTCCGCGAGCAACTGCACCGTGTCCAGATCGGACCGATGCAGCGAGCCAGGGCCAAGTTGCGCTTTCCCAAACGGTGCTCCGAGAAACGGTCTTCCTGCCGGCCCGTCGGCTGCTCGGGGCGGGCAGCTCTTGGACGGAGTCCTGGTGCCTCCGGTTTGAAAACTGGCCAGCGGCCAGGCCTGGTCAGCCACCAGGGCTGCTTTCTCGGAGATAGAAAGACTGATGGGCATCCCTTCCTGGCAGGCTTCCATATGTGGGAACAAGCCGTCCCATCGGCCCCCAGATACTATAAATGAGAGTAGTAACAGCGCTGAAAACGAAATGAAAAAGCCTCTCCGGGGGAAAGGAGAGGGCCGACTGTGGAAACACAGGAAGACTCTGGGGCAGAGACGATGGCCCAGACGAAGTGGAGATTGTGACGTTGAGAGTGGCCCCCGTGCATGAGCGTAGATGGTTGTCTGTAGTTGCACTTTGCGGCCTGGGAGTAAGGACACGTAAAGGGCTAATGTGTGGACCCATCCACAGTTGGAGGTTAGTGAGGCTGACTTTCCTGAAGGAGCGAGGGACCGGGGAACCTGGAGTGCCGACTAAGAAGCAGAAAAGGACGGCCAGGGACCCCAGGGCAGGGACAGAAGGAGGGACAGGCACAGCGGGGGCACAGGAGAAGGTAAGGACTGGGGGCGGGGTGAAAGGCTGTGCCCCAAGACTGGAATTTGAAGTTCCCAGTGCAGAGCGGTTCTGGGAATGATGAGGAGGAGGTGACCGAAGAGGTAGGTGGGTAGTCGTTGCTGAAGCGGTCAAACGATCTTGAGGCCGTGGTCACTCACAGTGACGCCGCAGTTGCCCAAGGAAGAAAGAAGGCAGGGTTTGGTATGGAGTGGGCCAGATCCTGAGCTGTTCATCATTTCTGCAGTTGTACCCTCTTCAGATCTCAGAAAAGGGGGGGAGGGATCATAAATGAAGAGTCTTCTCATGCCCTGGCTGGTGTGGCTCAGTGGATTGAGTACCATCCTATGAGCGAAAGGGTCACGGGTTTGATTCCCGGTCAGGGCACATGCCTGGGTTGTGGGCCAGGTCCCCGGGAGGGGGTGCACAAGAGGCAGCCACACATTGATGTTTCTCTCCCTCTCTCCCTCCCTTCCCCTTTCTCTAAAAATAAAGAAATAAAATCTTAAAAAAAGAGCCTTTCCCAACTGGCTCTTTCACTTAGCAGTATGCATTTAAGATTCATCCATGTCTTTATATGGCTTGATGTCTCTTTTTTTTATTTTATTTTAATCATTGTTCAAGTACAGTTTTCTCCTTTTTACTCCCAATCCAGCCCCTTGATGTCTTTTTTAAATGAATCCTGTTCCACTGTGTGGATATACCAGTTTGTCTATCCATTCCCCTGTTGAAGGACATCTTATTTACTTCCAGCTTTTGATGATCATGAACAAAACTGCTATAAACAAATGCATGCCGCGTGTGTGTGTGTGTGTGTGTGTGTGCACGCGCGCGCAGAAGGTTTCAGAGGAGCTGGGGAAACACCTGGCAGCACAGTGACCGGGCTGCGTCAGCACCATTCTGCATTCCCACCAGCAATGGGTGGAAGTCTGCGGTGCTTCGGATCTTTGCCTGCAGTGAGCACTGTCAGTTTTACTCACTCATTTATTCAGTCCATTCTGATGGTGCGTATGGTGGTCCCACTTTCCTTTGCTTGGTCCCGCCACTGCTGGGCCCCTCGCATGAAGAGCAGGGAGACTGCCACACAGGAGGGCCATGTCCGTGTCACAGTGGCCACTGGGCAAGGGGAAAGAAAGCATGTTATGTAAGATCGGGTGAAGGATCTAGGATTGCACACTCAGGGAGGAGATAGTCAAGGTTTTCCAAGTAACTGAAGGGTCCTTCTGGGGAAGCTGAGTAAGCAGAACCCAGGGGGCCGGCTCAGGAAGGACGAGGACCAGGGGACAGGTGTGAGGAGGCAGTGGGTACGTCCCGATGGAGGGCAGCTCCCTACCCATGGGCGCTCAGGCGGAGGCCTGCCAGGGCTTCATCGCAGCGCCTCAGGGGCATGGCGGTGGGGCGGGGCTGAGGAACCGGGTCGGCCCTAAAGCGTCTCCCCACTCTAGGTTTCTAGAAAACTGTGAACGGACTTAGGAAAAATTTATGGCAAAGTAGATTTCTCATAGGAAAAGAGAATTTTTTTAGCTTGAAATTTACTTTATGCTTTTATTGTTTTATTCATGGGTGATTAAAATTCTTTGTGTTCATAACTATTCTCCTTTATTCGTCTATAATACGGTTGTGAAATTTCCCAGGGGATAGCTTAGTCTTCAGTGGTGAAACTCTTGTTCTAATTATACCACTGGAACAATAATAGTTAATAATGATAGCTTATGTGTTTTAAAAGCTTCCTAGCACTGTGACCCAGTGGCGTTTAGTCCAGGTAAGCATGACTGGTTCTACAGTTGAAAATCAACTAATGCGACCCATTGCATGTATTGGCTAAAGAAGAAGAGTGACATTATCATTCCAGTTGATTCAAACAAGCATTTGACAAAATGTAGTACCCCTTTGTGACAAAAAAGAGAATCTCAGCAAATTAGGAATCGAGGGGAATTTTCGACTTGATAAAGGATACCTACAGAGTTTTGCAGCCAACATCACACTCAGCAGTGAGACACTAGAGGCTCTCCCCGCAGACTGGGAACAAGGCAGAGGGGTGTGCTGCCGCCACTTCCCCTCCGCATCGTACTGGAAATCCTGACCAGTGCGACAAGACAGGAGAAAATGATACACAGATTGACAAGAAAGAAAGAAACCTTTATTCACAGATGACATGATCGTCTATGTAGAAAAATCTCAAAGAAATCTATTTTAAAAAATCTCCTGGAACTAAGAAGGGGTATACTATATGGCAAGGTTGCAGCTTACAAGATCAATATTCAAAAGCTTTCCTATTCCAGCAGTGAAATTTTGGAATTAGAAATTTGAAAAAAATTATAATAGCGCGTGCACACACACACAAGAAGGAATACTTAAGTATAAAACTAACAAATGTGTACTGGTTCCGTATGCAGAAAACTATGAAACACGGATGCAGAAACCCAGAGTAGATGGAAATAGATAGAGTTACATTCTATCCTCAGGGATTAGAAGATTCAGGGTTAAGATGTCAGTGAACCTCAGCAAGCTATTTTACAAATATCAATAAACTGATTTTAAAGTTTGTGTGGATAGGCTGGAGACATGGAGTAACCAAAGCGATTCTGGAAAAGAACAGTCGGAGGACTCAGTCTACCCGATCTCAGAACAGTGAAGCGACAGCCATGGAGACGGCGTGGTCTTGACCGGAGACTAGACGTTTAGAGCAACGGAACGGAATAGACCTACACAAACATAGTCACCGAGTCTTCTCTTTATAAAGGCTTTATTTATTCTTAGAGAGAGAGGAAAGGAGGGAGAGAGGGAGAGAAACATTGATGCATGAGAAAAACATCCATCGATTTGCTCTCTCACGCCCCCAACTGGGGACCTGGCCCACAAAGCACGCATGCACCGTGACTGGGAATTGAACTGGTGACCTTTTGCCTTGTGGGACGACGCCCAACCCACTGAGCCATGCCGGTCAGGGCCAGTCACTTGGTCTTTGACAAGTGCATGAGGACATTCAATGACGAAAGGCTCATTTCTCAACAAATGGTGCTGGAATAATTTATTGGAATTTTTGCATATATAAAAAATTAACCTAGACACAGACTTTAGACCTTTCATAAAAATTAACTCAAAATGAGTCATATACCTAAATGTAAAAGTCAAAACCATAAAACTTTTAGGAAAAAACATGGAAGAAAATCTATATGACCTTTGGTGATGAATTATTAGATATAACACTATAAGTACAGTTCATTAAAGAAAAACTTGAAAAGTTGGACTTTATTAAAATTAAAATTTTCCACTCTGCAAAAGACATTACTAAGAGAATAAAAAGACTGGGAAAGTATTTGCAGAACACATGTCTGATAAAAGACTTGTATCCAAAATATACTCTGAAAACTCAACAATAAGAAAACAGCCCAATCAAAAAATGGGCAGAAGATCTGGACACCTCACTGAAGACATGTGCAGATAGCAAATAAACATGAAAAGATGCTCAATGTTATTTGTCTTTGGGGAAATGCAAAACACTACACACCTATTAAAATGGCTAAAAATACAGGAACCCCCCCCCCCACACACACACACACAAATACTAGTTGCTGACAAATACCTGAAACAGCGCAAACTCGCATCCATCACTGGCGGGAATGCAAAATGGTACAGACACAACCCAGTAATTGTGCAGCTGGGGATTTGGTTTTCAATACCCTTAAAAGGAGCCCAGGCTCCTTGGAGAAGGGGCTGGTTCAGGGCTGGGCAGGAAGCGTGAGAGGCACATGGCGAGGTGATGCTCCCACAGGCCCATGGGCCAACACAGCGGCGGGTTCCTTCAGAGGGAAGGGATGCAGGGACCAGCTGGAAGAGGTCCCCGTGGCCAAAGACGGAACAACCTGAGCAACAAATAAATAACTTAGTATTGGATACAGCTCAAAGTGTAAAATAAATATGGGTGAGTCCATTCTGATACACATGGTTGAATAAATAAATGGAGGAGGCAAGACAAACCTCTTATGCAGAAGAATTACCAATAATTTATGTAGATATTTTGCAAATGAAATTCTAGATATTTTGCAAATGAAATTCATTATGCAAAATGGATTACAGCTGCTTACTTTCCTCTCTAGCTTGGAAAGTTTGAGGTCAAAGTATTATTTATGTAGCCAGTTCCCTATTGATGGACATTTTCTTTTTTCTCTTGTTTTGCTTTATAAATGGTGCTTTAGTGAACCTGTGTACATACATCCCTCTAAGCTTCTATATATTAATAAGATAAATATTCTCAGGAATATTTATCAGGAATAAAAGTACCAACCCCTCCACACTTGGTACAACATGCAGCTCACAAAGGGCTAATGCACTTCCTCTGATGTCGAACGGACGTTTACTCATCAGTAGCAAGAGGACAGACGTCCCAGCAGAAAGATGGGCGAAGGGCCTGAGCAGGGAATTCACAAGGCAAATAGCACCAGTGGTCTATAAATATTTGTGACCCCCCCCAACCAAAAAAAAAACCTGAAAAAAAGTGCAAAAAGTGTTAGCTGAGTAGTCATGAAAGAAATGCAAAATAGAAGCAGTGAGACGACGTTATGCTGTGCGTAAGCCGAGGGAAGGAGAGAAGAGCTGTAGTGGCCGGCGCATCTGCCCGTGGGTCTGCCCGAACTTGCTGATGAACACATAGACCTGTTCAAGGCCAAGGTTTCTACATACACTTTTGAAAAATGGATACACATAATTTTATTTACTCTGTGTTACAGGAGTTTATCCCAAGACTTTAGTAAAACTATGCAAAGATACGGGTGTAAAGATTTTTATCCCAACCATGGAATAAATAGTAAGCCAACAATAGGGGCTTACTTAATGATGGCGCGCCCCTAGGATGAAATACTTAGCAGCTGCCAAAAATTGCGTCTTAGAAGAATATCGATTCACTTATAAAGATTCCTGTGACGGTATGATCAATAGGTACCACTGTAGTTGAAAAATAGGAAGGTGAATTCTTTACGCGGAGAAAAGACGAGAAGCACACACACCATGACGTTTACCACGGGGTCTGCGTGTGAGAATTAAAAAATGTTTAAAACTGCTCACCCCCCCACCCTTTGCAGTGTCTTGTCTGCCCCTTCCCTCCATCTGCGTCGCCGTGGCCCACGTTCGGGCCTCCCGGCTCTCACGTAGGCCCTCGCGCCAGCTTCCCCTGGGGCGTCCCTGCAAAGCGCTCTAGCCTCTCGCTCTCCTGCTCGCTCGGAAGGCCCCGGGACCCTTCCCACCGCCGTGCTGCACCAGACCCCCACAGTCTTCCCCCCCTTTCTCAGTCTCCCTCCGCCCCCACCCCACAGCGTGCCCGCACAGCCGTCCTGCCGGCCTGTTCAGCTCTCGCTGGTCCTGTCGAATACGGCCACACCTCAGTGCTGTCCGTGCCTTTTAAAAGTCTCCCCATCTTTTAAGGCCTGCCTCCTCCAGGAAGCCTTCCTCTACCATCACCTCCCCCATACTCCAGGCCACGATCACCAGCTGCTTTTTAATACAGCGGTTTCCGGAGGGCCCTGCTTCCCCACCCCCGTTAGCTTCACACCAGGCAAGCACAGAAGGGTCTGGACCCGCGGTGCCCAGGGCCCGCGCACAGTGAGGGCTTCGTGGCCGTCTGTTGGACGAACTGGCCCGGAGTTGCGTCTGCATACCGTGTGCTGTAGGTCAGGGTCAACCCTGCCTGTTCCAGAATTATGCCTTCAGTGTGTGTGTGATTTTTTGGCATGCAGGAATCGATTAAATTATACTGTACACGTGAATGATCACACTTGAGATTATGTGGCATAAAAATGTGCACGTATTAAAATACAAGGTTTACGGATCTCTCACTGGGTATCGAGAATATCTTTCTTCCATAACTACCCATTAAACGTTTGAGTCTGAACTTAATTTTAGGCAGTTCCTTGGAAAGAATGATTCTATGGGAACCGGGGCATGTCCTGGAGACAGCCACAGATGATTACGCAGAGAAAGCTTGTCTATAATATTCCTGCTTCATAAGAAAAGCAAAGTTTTGATTCTTGGTTACTCTTTCCTTGTTTTCTCACGGAAAAGTGGCAGTACTTGTGCGGAGAGAATACGTTTGGTTGCAGCCGTCAACGTGCTTCGTTACCTCTAGGATATCGTTAACCTGCATGGCGCTGCTTAACTTTGAAACAACTAAATTTAATTAGTATTTGGGTGACCGTATCCTAGAAAGTTAAAGTTGTTACAGTCGTGCACATGTTGGTGAATTCTCCTTGTCTCACATCTCACTGGGGATGTGGGTATCGTGGGTGGTACTGCCAGGATGCATACATACCCCTTTGCCCACTCGTCCATCTGTCCATCCATCCACCCGCCCACCCACCCCTGGTCTCCCCACAACTGGGGTCCTTCTGAGTAGGGATCCTGTCTGATTTATGTCAGAATTTCCCGCCCTGGCTGGTGTAGCTCAGTGGATTAAGCTTAGGCTTCGAACCAAAGTATCGCACGTTCGATTCCCAGTCATGGATTACAGGCCATGCCCCCCAGCAACTGCACATTGACATTGATGTTTCTCTCTCTCTCTCTCTTTCTCCCTCCCTCCTCTCTCTAAGAATAAGTAAATAAAATCTTTAAAAAAAAAAAAGAATCACTTAAAAAAAATTCCCCACAGCACTCTAGAGAGACTTGTCTGTCGTGGAGGCTCAGACCCTCCCCGGGGGACAACGGAGGCACCCACTTCTCCCCGCACACGGAGCGCGTGGGGGTGGGGGGGAGGCGCTGAGAACGCGGGACGTGTTGGCTGGGTTGGTGTCATGAGGGCCCTCGCCCGCGCACTCTAGGGCTGTGCTCTCTCCCAGGTCCCCAGTCTCTGGGAAACCCTGTTAACAGCAGTGGGCAAAGGGTGAGACATGGGTGGCCTGGCATCTAACAACTTCTCTGGTGTGTGTGTGTCTGTGTGTGTGTTTGACTCCGCAGGTCAGTTTTTGGGTTGTACGAGAAATTCTAACAGCACAGACTTTAAAAATAAGGGCAGAAATCCTGAGCCATTTTGTGAAAATAGCCAAGGTAAGCGGTTTTTTTTTTTTTCCTTCCCCTCTTCTTTCCTTCCTTTCTTTGTCCCAAGATGTGTGTCCTCAGTAATTTGGGAGCACCTTTGCGCTGGGCCTGTGGGCAGGGTTCAGACAGGGGGCTGTGCCTGACTTGCACAGACAGAGGCAGCTGGCAGACCAGCTGGGCTGCCCACGCAGGCTCGCAGCCCCCACGCGTGCGTCGGCAGCAAGCCCCTCCACCTCATGATCGTGGCAGCCAGCTCTTCCCTCTGGCCTTGCACGCTCTCCATGCGGCCCCAGGGGATGCCCCTGGGGTCTGTTCATCCGACTTCAGGTCTAGCCAGTGCCGGGGGCTGATGGGGTGGAGTTAGCCTTGCTGTGTGCGATGCCATCACATCCTGCACAACTCTGTCCCAAGTCTGCAAAGCTCCCCCAACCCGTTCTGAGCTTCAGGCCTGGGCCGGATGACCTTGTGGCTCCCATTCCCAGGTCCCATCCCCCTAGCCTGATGGGTTCTGTCCTCGCCAGTGGTTGGGTGCCAGGCTCGTGTCTGCGTCCCGCCTTCGCCGGCCTCCTCTTCCCTCATCTTGGCCAGCCCGGGCTGTGATCTCAGGGCCTTCCTGGACCCCTCCCATCAGTTGCACGGCCAGGCCAGCTCCTCCCCCTGCACCGCCCCGACCGCCAGGCTTCACGTGCACATGTTGTCTTCCCACCCAGACCCGGGGCCAGCTGGCCTCACTGAGGCCCCCCGCGAGCCAGGCCCGGTAGCAGGCGCTGTACTGAAATGACTGTATTCTGTGCTCTCATTACTATTATCCCATTTCCAGAGGATGAGGGGAGGCCTAGAGAGCTGCCCACCTGGGGCTTCCAGTTTGGAAATGAGTTTATGGTCTCCGCCCAAGGGATCAGAAACGGCCCCTTTTTAACCTCAGCCATCTCCGATGGCGGGTCGCCACACTGCACTGCGCCCTGGAATGTTTTTGCGCTTGCCCCTCCCTTACCAGGGCCTTCCTTTCCCATCTCTTCAACCAGAGGGGGTTAGATGATCTCCCAGGGGGCCCGGGCCTTCAGCTCTGAAGGAATTCTGTGGCAGATGTAAGAGTTCCGATACACGGGGTGAAACTCAGTCCACGCAGAGAAACCTGCTGTTACACAGCAGGAAACCGTCAGAACGAGACGAGATGTGTGGCGCGCATGCGAGCTGCGCGGTGTGGGAGAAATGTGCCAACAGGAGCAGAGCCGCGGGGACTGGGCACAAGGGCTTTTCGTTCATGCGTTCGCTTCCCTGGGCCCCACCGGGTGTTCCCTGAGAGCAGGCACAACGCTGCGTCTGCTGCTGTGTCCCCGGTGCCTGTCACCTGACACAGTGGGCAGGTAAAAGCAGGTGCAGCCCCGTGTGCGGAGGAGATGCACAGGCTGTTGTGGGACCAGAGCGGGGCAGGCCGTAGCCTGCCCGGACTCGGGAGCGTGGCCAGGAAAGACGTCATAGGGGAAGTAGCACCTGAGCTTGCAAGTACCCAAGACGAGCGCTGGGGACAGTTGTGGGGACGAGTCTTCCCAACAAAGAGTGAGCAAGCAGCCCACGTCACCTTGAGTGCCCGCCCCGGTGTCAGGCAGGGGTCTTGGCAGCTGACGTGAGCTGTGCCAGGGAGCAGAGGGGCCATGATTCCCTTCCTCATTTGAAGATGAGGATGCAAAGGCTCAGAAGCAGCGCTCAGAAGCAGTGACCCGTGCCCAAGGACACCCGAGCACTGGGGGCCGGGGCTGGAGCCAGATCTCTGGGTCCGCAGAGCCTGCTTGCTGACCCGAATGTCGCTGACCCCCAGGGATGAAGAGTGGAGCCCCAGCCCTGTCAGCAGGTGCCCTCGGCGTGAAACCAGGGACAGAGTGATCACGTTTTCCTACTCTTCCTCTCCGCTCTGTCTCCTCCTGTTGCCCTCTGTGGCAAGGACCTCGTCTGAGACCGGGTCGAGTCCCAGTGTCCACACTAGTTCGGGGTCCGCTTCGAAGGAGCACGGCTGAGCAATCAGGAAGCCAGAGCTGTGTCCTGCCGGCCGGCCGGCCGAGGGGCTCGTGCAGACGGACGACATCTGTCCTTAGCCCCTCTCATTCCCGAGTTAAGGCAGCGCAGGAGTCCCAATCGGTCTTGGTGGTGCAGCCCAGGTTTCGGTTTACGCAGCCTGTCGGGGCAGCTCCGACTCGCCCGAGACGAGAGCTCGGAGGACGTTGGTTACCAAGCCTCGTTCTGAGCCACGTTTCCGCCCGGCCGGCAGCCGGACGGACGAGGCAGCTCCTGAAGTTCTGCAGACGCCGTGGGCGCAGGCTCACCTTTGGGCGGTGTGACGGGGGGGAAAGAGCATGTGGTTTCTATGAGCTTCCCAGAACTGTGTTTTCTACGTGAGGTATTTTAAGTGCAATTGAATTTCATAAACATGACAACATTTGGTAACACTTGAGCGTGTTTTTGTTCTGTTGTTTATAGCAGCGAAATAACCTATTCCTTGTCTTTTTTCAGAAACTTCTAGAACTCAACAACCTTCATTCTCTCATGTCTGTGGTGTCAGCGTTACAGAGTGCGCCCATCTTCAGGCTGACAAAAACCTGGGCTGTAAGTGAATCTTCCCAAGTCTGTGCCTTTGACTTCGGCTGCCATTTCGTCAGTGAGGCTCCTCACGCCCTCAGCCCCAGGAGGCTCTCTCTGACTGTCCGCCCCTCGCCCAGCGGAGGACGACTGTGGGTTCACAGCGTGCTCCCCTCTCCTTCGGCGACCTCAGCCCCATTCTGGGGTGAGGGGGTGGGGGGACACTGGCGTGCACCGGTCTGGAAGCCCCCTAGAGTGGGCCTTCCCACACCCTGCAGCACCCTGCCTGGGGGTCGGGTCAGCGACACGACTTCTGCCCGGCACTTGGCTGGCACTGCTCTCTGGCAGGCTCCGAACCGCGCTCGGGAAGGTCTCCGGGCTGATGGTTTGCAGCTGCCGCGGGCTGCTGGCCACGCAGCCAGGAGTTTCTCCGGAGAAACCTGTGACCCTCGTGTAAGGAAAAATGATTTTTTTCCTGAAGGCCATGGCTAATTTCAGCTCAGAGGTGGAGTCTGAGAGTTATATAATTGAGTCTGTAGGAAAGTTTTTCTGCTGTAAAAATACTTGAAAACTATCTCAGACCTCTTTCTCCTCCTGAGCTTGGCGCAGGGCCTGACACGGGGAAAGTAATTGCTCTTTCCATAGCTCATTAGCATTCACCTCCCGGCCGCCTGGTGCAGGGTCTCCCACAGCCGCACGGCCCCAGCCCTTCAAGGCCTGTTTCTGTCCCTCGGAACTGGAGGAAACTGGACGGAATCGTCAGCTGCGCTCCTGCAGCTCATTTCCCAGCTCCGTCCTGCCCATCTGTGGGGCTGGGCTCCGTGCCACGCTTGGCCTGTTCGGGAGCTTTTGAGCTCCTTAGGGACTATGCTGCAGGTGATCAGATTTGAGCCTTGTTTCTCCTAAGTACGGGTCTCCACAGCTGTAGCTCTCCGAAGCCGAGGGAGACGTGTTAGGCTGGACTCGGAAGACTGGGTTCGCGCTCAGGTGCAGCTGAGAGCGTGACTCCGGGGGACTGGTTTCCCCTGTGTGCGTACGCAGGGAGGCTGGCCTGGATCAGCGGTTTTCCGTCAGTGCTCTGGGGGCCCGGAGGGGCGGGGGGAGAAGGGGGAGGGTGCCAGGGCAGACGGCTGGGGCGCTGTTTCCCCCAGAGCAGCGCTGTTCGGGTCGGTTTCATGCGCTGTGCTTCTGGGTGAATTTCGGTCGAGCAGTGACTTCAGAGGTCTAAAGCAAGTTTGGAAGCCGCCGGCCTCTGCAGTGGCCGCCAGCCCTGTGCTCCCCCAGCTCTGTCTGAGCCATGAGGCTTTTCCAGCAGTTGCCTGGAGCTGCTTTTTTCAGATGAATTTTCCATCGTTTAGACGCTGTTACTATTTCTTGGGCCGCTGGGAGCTGTGTGCGGACCCGGAGGAATACTGTGATTGTGAATTTCAGGGTGCACAGACCTTATTGTCAGTGATGTCGTGACTCTTGATGGCCCCTCTACTTTCAGAGTTGGTGAGGGGCCCTGGGGAGTCTTGCAAGCCCCCTCACACCCACCTGCTCTGCTAGTCCCAGGACACTGGTTTGCACAGAGCCCCTGGGAACTGGACGGGCCAAACACGTCACCTTTTCCCATCCTCCTGCCCACCCCGGCCCTGTGGAATTGGTGGTAGCATTGCGCCCCGCCGTTCTCCCCGCCCCTGTCCTTTCACGACACACAGCCCATCTGCTCTGTGGTTTCATTTACAGGTCTGCCCCCCTTCTGACTGCCTTCTTCACGGTCGGGTCTGACTGTTCCCTGTGTCCCTGCTGGGTGCCAGAGCCGACATGGTGCAGCCTTGCCTTGCTGGACCCCATAGTCCATGTTCTTGGCCAGTGTGCCCGCTGACTTGTCAGTGACAGAGCCCGGTGTTGGGTGAGATCGGGCTGGGCAGAGCGTGGGGGCACAGGCACACCCGCTGCTTGGGAAGTGGGTCTGGAGGAGTGCGTCCCCCTGGGGACGGGGCAGGACCGGCTTCCTGGGGTTGCCCGGAAACCCTGGATAGCTGGGAAACTTGGAGCGAAGTGAGTTACAGGTGTGGGAGGAGACCTGCCACTTGGTTGCACCATGGGTGACCCCCAGTGAGGGCCACTTGGTCATTAGCTGTAGGACAGGGGAGCCTACAGCTCCCCTGGGAGATGGGTGGGACAGGGGAGCCTGTCCTACAGCTAATGACCAAGTACCTGGGTGAGCTGGGACAGAACCAAGATTGACACCAAGGATAGGCCTGCGCGTTGTAGGCCCGTACTAAATGCTGGCTAGGTGCACAGACAGGAAGGGAATCAGCTTCTGCTGGCCTGGGAGAACGCAGGCAGGACCTGATGTATCCCAGCACTAGGGCCACTTTGGAGTACTGGCTGCCTCGGAGCCACGAGACCTCAGAAGTTGCATCAGCCAATTCTGATTTCCTGAGTGTACACATTACCGTGTGTACTTATTCATCCTGCAGATCAAATATTTATTGAATGCCTCTTCCACGCCAGGCCCTGAGGCTATGCTCAAGGCCCCTGTCTTCATGAGCTTTTTAATGTTATTCCGAGGAGACAGACGTGTTATTGAGCGAGAATAAACACATGCCGAGTCTGGCTGGCACAAGAAGTAATCGATGTTTGTCGAATGCATGAAGTAATGAACAGCGAACTGTCAGATGGGAATAAAACGAAGCAGAAGGCTAAGACAGGAGGATGTGATAGAAACGACGGGGTGTCCTGGGAAGGCCTGTCTGGCCCCTGAGTAACAAAAGGAGCCAGCCGTGCTGAAATGAGGGCGTGAGCATCCCAGGCAGAGGGCCTGGCCAGTGCAGAGTCCCCCAGCGGGCAGAAGCGCAAAGGCCGGTGGCGCGGGAGCACGGACAGGCAGGAGGTGGCACCAGATGCTGCGGGTGGGAAGTGGGGCCGATCACGGAGGGCTCGTGGCCTGGGAGAGGAGTCGCGTGGTGTTCTAAGTGTAGGAAAGGGGCTTAAACAGGAGACCAACGTGATCGGCTTTACAGCTGGTTTTTGTTTTTGTTTTTTAATTACTGTTGCTACTGTGTGGGAACAAATTGAGTCGGGGATTCTGGAAGAAGCCAAAGCGGAAGCGGGGCCTGGTTAGGAGGTTAGGGCCGAATGCAGGAGGGAGGCGATGCCGGCTGGGGTGGAGGGCGTGGCAGCGGGCGTGGAGGAAAGCACGCTGGCTGGCAGGGAAGGCGTTCTGAAGATATAGGGTCGGCAGGATGCGCGGTGGGTGGAATGTTGGAGGTGAGGGAAAGAGAGGGGGGAAGGGTGATTCCTAGGTTTGGGGCCTGAGCAGCTGGGAAATGGCCTAACCCGGTCCCAGTAGGAAGCTGACTTATTCGTGAGTGACCTGCGGGATGGAATTCCTGGAGAATGGGTGAGTCACTCGTAACAGTAATTACAGCCATGTGCTGCACATCATCCACACTCACCCACGCGTGCGCACATGTGCACACACGCACACACGCACAGCTAGCTCTGTGCACATTCCTGTTGTGATTCACTCTTTCCTACTGAATTGATCCAGAGATTTAGAGATTTTGACTCATCTGCAGCAGCAAAATGAAAACCGAAGTTCCTGGCTGGGAGGGCATGTCAGCCATTGGGACGGGAGGAGGCCGGGCCTGCAGGGTGGTGGCCTGGAAGGGGAGCTTTCGGAGACTGGGGCTCCCACTCGCAGACACCTGGGGGCACAGGGTCACCGCGCTGCGGTTCTGAGAGCGGCTACTTTGCAAATATCCTAGGGAGGCAGATGTGTTTGTGTTTTGGATTTTAGAGTCCTCCATCCAGGAAGTGTCCCGGCAAGCCCCCTCTGATGTGGATGAGGAGGCGGTGAGGGGCCCCGCTGCTGCCCGTTCAGGTTTTGCTGAGCCTTGGGTGAGGGGTGAGCAGGTGGCAGGCAGAGGAACCAGCGTGTGCGCCCTCCGGTTGTTCCTCCCCCAGACACTCCTCGGAAGTTCCCAGCCGTGAAGTCTGCTGGCACTGCCACCCTCGTCCTCCTTGACATCCTCACAACACCAGACACTGTTCCTCACCCTCCTCTGGAAACACCTCTTTTCACTCGACTCGGTTCCCTGCCTGCCGTCTGTCGGCCGGCCCCTCCCCGCCGGCTTCTGCTCCTCCACCGCCCACTGAGTGCTCTGGAGGCTCTGGCCCCGGCTCCCACCCTCCCGAGCCCACTTCCCACCCCTGGGGGACGTCCCTGCTGGGAGAGCGTCGGCCATCACCTCCGTGCCCCGGAGGTGGCTGCCCCCTCAGCCCTCACCCCGGCCTCTCTCCGGGGCCCTAGACCCGCGTTCCCACGCCTGCCCCCAGCCCTCGGCTCGCGTGTTCCTTCGACAGCTCACGGCCTGGCGTGTCTGAGATCCAACTTGGGTTTCCAGGAAGTGACAGCGAGCGCCAGAGGCCTCTCTCAGCAGACTGTGTTTTGGACTCGGAGGCAACATGGCAGACTGAGCTGATGAGGGAAGGCCCCTCCCTCCCAACTGCGTGCTGCAGACACAGAAACACAAATAAATGCTGGATAAAACGCAACCCGAGGAGCGACGCCGAGCCAGGAGCTGAGGGAGGGAAGTCAGTACGTGCTAGAAATAAAGAAGTCCTTGGAGTCAGCACAGCACAGCGGGCAGAGTCGGGCGGGACTGCTAAGGCCTTCGCAGCTGGGGCGGGGGTTCCAATGAGCATGTGAGCCAGTGGCGGGGGGTCCAGGCTGCGGACCCACGGGCCCAGGGGGCTGGCAGTCAGCTCTCCACGGAGCTCAGCCAGCCCTCAGGTGTCACCCCATCACGACACTTCTCTTCATCCCCAGGGAGCATGAACAAAAGAGGTCACCTTTGAAAGGCTGTCACTCTGGCCTGTATCTCAGGTGGCTGCTGTGGGGTCTGACTACCACGTGTCCCGAATTCCTGAATTGGTGTGGGGACCCCAGACCAAGAAATAAGGAGCGGTGTCCCGTGGAGATTAAGGGTGTGGACCCTCGAAACATACTTCTCGACTCAGCCTTGGACCTGCCT